TTTCCAGTCTCTCACTCCCCAGTCTGTTGGTACAGTGAGGGTTCTCCTTTCCCAGGTACAGAATTAGCACTTGCCACTGTTAAACTTCACATGGTTGGTGACTGAGAATCCTTTGCATAACTTTCCTGAAGGCTGTTTTAAGGGTGAGCCACATCCCCAAGTTTCCCATCCACTCACCTTTGCTACAATAACTTCCTTCTTCAGAATTTTCATAGCATAATACCGTCCAGTTGCCTTTTCTTTGACTAGAATGACTTTTCCAAAAGTGCCTTTTCCCAGTAGTTTAAGGTATTCAAACTCATTCATGGTCTGTTAATGACAGAGATAAACAAGAAGTGAATTACATGAAAGAACCTACAACCAGCTGTGCAATCCTTATGGGAACAGGTGTGCCTGGGTGGTTGTTTCTTGTCACTTTCAGAAGACCTAAAAACCAGTTATCCTTGCCCTGCTCACTTACCACTTTGTGTTTTGGCTTTGTCATAGAAACTTCCATTTCTTCAGCACCTGAATTATCACTGGGAGAGCCAGACCTAAAATCCATCATCTCCTCCTCTTGTTTCTTGAGGCTGTCTGCTACTGTTTGAATGGCTTTTGTCCATTCTTCCCTGGCAAAATAAAAGCAAAGACAGTCATTACTTGTGATTTTAGATTACCAAGTTCCATGGCAAGGGTCACCAAGGAATGCAGAGCAGCTCTCTGATGAATCAATGGAAGATACAATGAATTGTGTGCATTTTCAAGCACTGTAAAAATGCATTTTTAAGACCACTTTTAACATGGATCTTTATTAGCTGTGCTAGAAACAAGAGGCAACTGACGTTCTCCCAGTCTGGATACAATACAAGGCTTTTCCCACAGCAGAATTTCTCATAAGCATTCAGTCAACAGCTCAAGATATGACCTGGTGATACAGAGATTTACATAACAAAACCAGACTCGCCAAAACCAAAATGCTCCCATGAAGTACAAAGCAATTAAACACAGCTTCTACATTTCCATGCAGCAGTGAAACACAAACCCAGCTCCTGGGGACTCTATGTCACCTCTTTGAACACACATCCCAAATTTTAATGGTGTTCTAGGAGAAGGTATTAAAGCCCAGGAGACTTAGGTCATTCCTCTGTTGCAGAGATGATGACAGCAGGACAGTGATTCCTGTGCAAGCTTTAGCAGAATGCCAGACAAAGCACTGACATTTCATCCTAGGTCTTGGTTAGGATAAAGTTTCCACAGCTGTTTCAGCAATGGGTGCTCTAAGAGTGACCCCTGAGACTTCCATGGAGACCACTTCCACTCCAGTGTCCTTTGGGAAATTTCACACCTTTGGAAACTACTCAAGTGAAAGTTCTTGGCCTTCACTTGATTTCACTGCAAATTTATTGAACATAAAGAACAGAACTGGCAAGAACTTCCTGGGTTTCAGGGTGGGCTTTGAGACACAAAGAGGCTGAAGATATGTTCAGCGGACTACCTGAATTTACCAAGTTTTACTGTCTTTTGTATCTGTAGGGAACGAGCTGTGGCGGTTAACTAGTACTCTCTAGGCACTGGTTAAACTCTTCTCCCAAGGACACCCCAGTAAAACACTTTGCTGCTGCAGCAGGAACACCAGTAGCCAGTGCTGATCAATTCCATGCACAACCTGCAGTGCAGCCGTGTCATCCCTATCAATGCCAAATTTTCCCTGGTTCTATGAAGTCATTTTTTTCTATTAAAATTCATATCTGCACACGTGAATTTTAGTTTCTGGTGGACAGAAGAGGCAAATCATTCCCCAGAGGAAGCAAAGTCCATGGGAATAAGTACCCAAGATAAGATTCTAATACAAACTGCACCACACAAAATCTTTCCTGCTTTGGCATTTTTCATTTCAGGTTTTGCCTCAATATTCACTGTCCAGTCCTGCCCAGGGCAGGAAGGTTATGCCAAACCTTCTGAACATTCTCCCTATACTCCCAGCACAGAGTACTCAATTCACCATCACAAACACGTTCCTTTATTTACTGGTGATTTTTCATACTCAGAATAATTACAAGAAGAACTTTTTCTTCTGCATTTTTCTCTCTGTCTCTCTCAGAAAGCAAACATTGAATTTAAAGGCAGAGCAAAAGCTAAAGGCATATCTACCTTCATATCTCTTTTAAGACTGACTTGGTGGAGATCTCAGCCCTCCTGAAGAGAGGGTCTTTGATTTCTGGGAGACCAGAATTTCGCCCTCAGCTTTCATGTCTCAAGAGTACACAACAGAGGTGACTAACACTCCGAGCCCTGAAGTGTCACAAAGCTGACTTAATTGGCTAGGAGGGAACAAAACAAGACTGAAATACAATCTTCCCCCAAGTGGAAACTGTTATTCACTCCCTTTAGGGTCACCGACCACAAAGCTACTAAAAGAAACAAGGACCAGTTTCTTTTTCTTTGCTTTTAATTTGGCTTCACCTTCTTCTGATCATTGTAACACAAGTGCAATGATCAGGAACCTTCTTTAAATCAAAGGCTATGAAAGAAAGCAGTGAATAATCTTGGGTAGAATCCACTGATCTTCAAAATAAACACATGCCAGGATCATACCTAGGGAGGACAAGGGCTTTAAAATCCCCATTCCCCTAGGGCAATGCTACTGGAATAATTTCAGTTCAGTTCCTGAAGAGCAAGTAAATATTTAAATACTCGGTAGCTGTGGAATAGCAGTGCTAGAAAACTGCTCTCTCTGGAGGGAAGAGATCAATTCTCCCATGATGAGAGCACAGGATGCAGCTCTTAGCTTTGTTTCCTAACAGCTGAAACAGAAATCTGCACCTGCAGCAGATAACTATCACCTTTATTATCTCATTTGCATAAAACATTAGCAATCAGCAATGATACGCCTAACTTTTCCTTCAGAAACAAGGTGTGTAAATAGGCTTTAAAAAGGTCAGTGTTTAGATGCAGCTCAGCTTTGCCTGAATCTCTGTTTCGCTTGTGCTCATCCTTCCAGAAACTCCCAGGTCAGACACACTTTGTTTTACATACCACAACGTTTCCAGAGAGAAATGAACCTGAAGTTCCCAGAAATAACTACTTGTGTGCTGGTACACACCTGCATCTGTTTTGGATACCCAACCTAGCAAACACTACTCAAAATCTGTCTGAACCATCCTGAAAAGTACCTTTTCCACCAGAACACACACACACACACACACACACTGAGGCTCTCAAGGATTCTTTGTCACTTTTCAATCCAGACGTAACATCATCTGATAAACAAGAGCCTCAGCCAAGGACTTGCTATTAATGCTGAACACTTGCATCTGTTTCTGCAAGTAGTTTATGCATTAAATATGAATGAAACATACCGCTCCTCTGGAGTCTCCACATGAAATGTTCTTTCAATTACTGTGGTCCACTGGAGGCATCTAATGATAAATGTGTTTGGTTTAGGTCGTTCTGTCTTCATCAGCTGGCACTCTACCACAATCAAGGAAGAAAGAGTCATGGTACATAAGCAGGTTTAAATAATCATTTGTCTTTATTCTTATCTAGCAAACGGTTATGATTCATCAGCCATAGGAATCTCTGTAAGTACTTCTTTAGGAGGCTTGAGACAATTTACTGTGTTGATGAAACCAATAAATAGATGGGGAGATAGCCATCTAAGCAGCCCCAAAATCAAATCCTGCTTTGAAAGGCTCCACGTTTGGTCTGCCCAGAGAGGTAAGTAGAAATGGGATGTGATAACACAGAAGCCATTCAGATTCAGGTCCCAGACTCCAAAGGTCATCCAGAGCAGAGCACACGGCCAAAGTCACTTGATAATGCAGCGATTACATCCTCTGAAACTCAAGTCATAGAATCATGGAATCAACCTGGTTGGAAAAGACCTCCAAGATCACCAAGTCCAACCCTACCGTGGTCACTAGACCATGGCGCTAAGTGCCACATCCAGTCTCAGCTTGAAAACCTCCAGGGATGGTGAATCCACCACCTCCCTGGGCAGCATATTCCAATGCCTGAGCACTCTCTCTCTCTCTAAGTCAAACCCCCACACTGCCCCCCCCATTGACTTCCCAACACAAAACTCTGTCCGTGGCTTCCAAGAAGCTGCTAAAGAACACATCTGGTCATTTTGCAGCGACCTGACAAAGCTTAGACTCAGCATTTCCAGCCCTCAAACACTAGAGGGAACATCAAACTGCGAAGACACCCCCTGAAGAGCCCCCGGTCCAGAGTCCTCCGGGACACTGCACAGCCAACAGCTCCCAGCACTGCCAGCACTTGAGCACAACCTAAAAAGGCCACAGAAGTAGAGCTCCATGCAAAGCCACCACTTCCCTCACCGAAACGCTGCGTGTGAATTTTGCATTTTAAATCACATCTATTTAGTTTAAGCTTCACAGGATGTTATGAGTGTTTAGCCTTCAAATTTGGGCCTGAAGATGCACCTGATTAAGACTACACATGAGCTATGCTAAAAGAGGACCTGGAAAAAAAAACAAAAGAAAAATCAGTGGAGTAACAACAGAAGCCAAAATACATCTTTTACATTAAGGTTAATAGAAAAACTAATTAATTGTACAGCTCCTGCTAGGGGAAAGTCAAACAAAGACACCAAGTGAGCAGGGAGGAAAAATAAAAGATTTTGTGGGTTTTTTTTCTTGCATTAAACTCTTTTTCTTGCAGTTAATGAAACCACAAGCTTGCTGTTATTTGGCCTCCATGTTCTAAACCAACTTTCAAGGAAATAAAAAGGCACTACAAAGACAAGAAGAAATTTCTGCTTCCTGCTAGAGCTAAGAACATCCTCCACCATCAAGCAAAGAGCAGGATCAGGGCAGAATCAGGGCAGAGTAAGAGTGCACATTGCTAAGGCTGCAGTGGTATTAGCTTAGGTTAGTTTCATTACTGTGAAAATTTAGAATGCTCCGTTAGGTTAAATTCAAGCTCTTAATTAGCAGCAAGATAAAATATTTACTGCCAGTGTTTTTGGGCTCCGTATTTTTGGCACTGTGTTTCACGCCTCATTTGCCGCCGGAATTATAAGCTTTTCCATGAGTAACTCTGCATTTTTCACGGCAAGAAAAATCTAATTTTTCCTTAATGGCACGCTGGGGTTAGACTGTGTCCTCCTAAAGCACTGCAATTAGATAAGGGAAAGTTTATTAATGAGTCATGAACGGGCTTTAGTGTGATAAACGACACTCCTTCCTGCTCCCAGATTAGACAACTTCCCTCGGCCACCTCCAGCCTCTCTCACGGCATGGCAAGCACAGCCAAACAGCACTGCACGGGCTGGCACAGCTCACTGAGCACTCTGCAGCTCTCAGTCCTGTGTCTCACCACCCTCACAGGGAAAAACTTTCTCTAATATCGAACCTAAACTTCCTCTCCTTCAATTTGGACCCAATATTGAACAGCATCTGTGTCTGTGCTCTACTGGAGTGGTGCATGTTGTGGTACATGATGAGACAAGGCAAGTTTGGTGCTTTTCTAACTTGCCAGCTGCAGCAAAGAACACACAGTTGGGTTTAAAAGGCAGAAAAAAACACCTCCTGCTCATTCGTTTTGCTGATAAAATCCATGTGATTGTCATATATGGGGAGAACTAAGCAGTAGTTTCAAACTTTGTGGGACCTACGTGGTGCAGCACTTTGGTACGGCAGTTTGAAAATAAAGCCTTCTGTATTTCTTGATATGTGCTGTTATGATTGAGCAGGGTAATTAGACAGCATATTGTTCACTAAACAAAACACTTCTCTGTGACATCCTTGAATTATAGTGGTTATTAACTGACAAATCTCTATTATTCATCTTGCTGTATGCCTTAAAGATTGCTGGATCAGCAATCTGAGCAGATACCAATGGACAGTGCTGGTTTAGGGGAAAAGTGGTGACATGCAGTTGGTCCCTCCTGTGACAGAAAATGCCTTCTGTGGTTTATCATGCTGAAATGAAATGGTTAAAGTTGAGAGTTTGTGGCTGGTTGAAGTATCTGTGCTGCTACTTCAGAATATTTCATCTGAAGCACGAACTGTGAATCTGAAGTGCTTTCAAAAACTAAGCAGAAACTCTCAGTTTGTTAGGAGCTGCAGTGACAGGACAAGGGGTAACGGGTTTGAGTTAAAGGAGGGGAATTTTAGGTTAGATCTTAGGCAGAAGTTTTCCCCATGAGGGTGGTGAGACACTGTCCCAGGTTGCCCAGGGAGGCTGTGGCTGCCCCAACCCTGGCAGTGTTCACAGCCAGGTTGGCTGAGCCTTGAGCAACCTGCTCTGGTGGGAGGTGTCCCTGCCCAGGGCAGGGGTTGGGGCTGGATGATCTCTAAGCTCCATTCCAACCCTTAAATTCTATGGTTCTACGATATCAGGTCTGATTTATGGCATGTTTGGGGGTTCTGCTACAATAACATTCACCTATCAAACACAGGCCTAGGGTCACCCACCCACTTTGAAGACAGTTTTTCCTGTCAAACTGGCCAACATAACTACTCCCCATTTGCACCAAAGTACTATAAACAGCAGCCTGTTAAAAAAATGATTTAAATTGCTCTAAAGAACCTCTTGATTCTTTCCTGGCATTTGGTCTTTTAAAGTAAGTAGGACAGAGAAATTGTTCCTAACAGGAATAGACACCAAGGCATTCAAATGTAAATTACCATTTTGTATTTGAAAGACACTTAGTATTATCCCAGTGACTTTCTAAAATGTCACAATATTTGCCTTCCCAGCACTTAAGCTAAAAGGCAGATTACTCTCCATGAAAGTGTCAAACCCTGCTCCCTATATAATGACATCACACTTAAAACAATAATGTCAGGGAAGAATCCCTCCCATTCCTGGTTGGGTTCCTTTAAGAAAGGGTATGGAGGAAAAGAGGAAGAAAAAAGAAATGAGTGAAGAGTGACAAAGAAATAGAACTTTGGGAAGTCAAAGAGGAACATGATGTTGAAGTGCTGATTTTCTGTTGAGATTCACCTCCAAACAGCTCAGCATGGCAAAAGTGAGGAGCTGGGAGCCCAGCCCTGGACTAACAGCAAAAACTCTGACCACTGCTCTGGCCATCCCATGCCTCTGCTCAATGCCTAACTGCAGCCACACACTCCTGTCCCAAAAGGAGCTCTGGTATTGTTGAGCAATTATGTTTGCAGCTCTCCCAACAAACCCCCCCAGTCCACCCTCCTTTCTGACAGCCTGGAGAAATAATCCCTTTCCAACAGGAACAGACTCCCTCTCTCTCTCCATGTGGTTTTTCACAATATACTGCTTTTCTCAGCTATATGGTTTTAAAGGCTTATAACCTAATAGGCAGCCATACATGATAATCCCAGATTACAATCGCTATGAAGGCTACTTATCTCACAGATTTACAACGCAGGCTCCGCTGCTTGTTCACCCACAGAGGCTCTGCAGACAACTATTTAGGCACAGGCTTTTTTCTTCCTTCTGTCTTATTAGTGGTGAAGTGCAGAATACAAAAAATATCTCAGTTAAATGCTCAGGCATCATCTCTGAGAAGACTTGCCTTGGGTTTTTTTGGGGGGTTTGTTGTTTGTTTCTTGTTTTCTTTTAATCAACTACCAACAGGTTAATTCCAGAGAAAATAAACTCCTTGAACAGAGCATTAAATTACAAACATTGAGAGATATATATATGGCATTTTAAAATGGAAAATTAGGTGGAGAAAAAGGTATTTAAAGCAAACAAACAGTGAGTCTCTCTTTACCCAGAGAGGCTTAGAAACAAGTTCTCAAAGGTGTATGATCAAACCCCTCATGAACTGAAAGGAAGAGGCTATTTCCTACCTCTCCTGGGCTGCCAAAATCACTCAGTATGAATTTACACTGCAAGTATGAAGAGTCCCCTCGTCATTAAAAAGCTGCTTTTACTTGCAAAGATAAAAAAGCCAATGCTATTTTACAGCAGAAGAGGGTAAAGACTTTAATCAGAAACATGGGACCACTTCCAGAGAGCAGACTGACAAGAGACAGCCTGCCATCTCATTAAGAAAGAAAAAATCTAGTTCACTAATTAACAAAAGAGTCAGGGCTATCATGGTCTCTTGGAGGAAAGGAAAACAGAAGGATTCATTTTTCCAAGATATCTAAGCTAAATTCCCCTCACCTTTCCAGCCAGGAGCTTCTACACCCTGAGCTCTGCCCTGAGCCTTCCTCCAGAGTTCACTCACACTGACCCCACAAGCTAAGCCCAGTCAAAGGATCAGGCAAGGAGGTTCAAAGGGAAACTCTGTGGTGCAAAACAGTCCCAAAACACACAAGTGTGGAGGGCACTCAGAGAGAACCACCAGCACTGCTTGCTGCTGCTTGTGTGGGAAACTAACCCTGGAGGGGAAGCAGCTGCTTCTGTGAGCCCAAAGCCACGAGAAATGACTTCTAGCAAGGAGGACATC